TACATGAGATATTCTAGCTATTTATCCACAAATGCATGACAATTCTGTTTGTTGGCTACAAATTTCAGCTTCCGAAGACAATTAATCTTCAAGTAGGGCAATCTTGCCGGCATTGCAGAATCCAGACAGCTACTAGATGCCACTATATTTTCTAAATTTTTGACCACTAATGCCATCAATGACATTGATGCAATTAGTATCCATCCAGACTTTTGAGACAGATATCATATATATAACTGAAAATTCTGGAACTTCAGAAAGGGACACTTTTTCGAGAGTCAGCTTGCAGCAAGTAGACAACCAAAAGTTCTATCACTGTGCAAAACCATAGAAACATGTCAATCCAATAGATCTTTTGGTTAATCTAGTATTTAATACCTACATTGAACCTTTCAGGATCCTGGCAGGGTTTGTTTGGTCAGAGACTAAATCTTACTTATAATGAGTCATGGAGGCACATTGGTTAGAATGCAGTATTGCAGGCTACTCTGTTCACTAGCAGCAGTTCGATCCTGACCAGCTCAAGGTTGACTCATCCTTCCAAGGTCGNTATATATATATATATATATATATATGAGTGACATGATTTGGGGAAAGTTTGGATATAGCATTTACTTTGAGTTTTTTTCCTTTTAAAAGTTCAGTTGGCTGTGTGAGACATAATACAGCCATATTCAGTACTGTAATTAGAATTAGGATGAACATGTTTCTTGGGGAAGTTATTAATGTAGTGAAATCAACACTTATTTAAAATATTGAAAGATACCAAAGACAAATTGAGATACTCTTTAAGATTTGGGATTCTTACAGGAAACTCATTTTGCCAGTGTTTATTAATTTTTATAGTGGATGTTTGAGCTGAGTGAAAATCTTGAAAATATTATTTCCTTTTATTCAAGGAAGCAGATAAGATCCATATACATACTTTACCATGAGTAATACCAAAAGGGAGATGGAAGAAATTTACTGGATTTACTTATAAACTAAAGCAACTATAAAAATCCTATGTCTACAACCAGAATATTTTACATTATTACATTGCATTACATTACATTACAACTTATATACACACACAAACATCCTACACTTTTTGTTGCCTATTTTCTGTCCATTATACAGAAAATATTTTTTGTTAGGTTAACCTTATTTTAAGGTTATGTTTAGCTTATTTTACATTATTTAAAGCAACATTCCACTAGTTAATGTGAACCTACATCATTATTTCAGAGGCTATATTAAAAAAAAATCATCATCTTCCTGCAAAAAAAGGTGCATTCCTCTTTTCAAGAACACCAATAACAGATGAATGAAAAGACTAAATAGTAAAATGCTTGAAAAAAAGGTCAAAATTACATATTTTTTCCATTCTGTGAAAGTTTTAAAAAGTGATTCCACAAAATGTGGAATTGATCCAAAATAAATAATATTGCAGAGACAGTGTTTATTCTATAAACACATACTAGTTTTAACTGGGATTGTCTCTCAATATTAGATAATTGTTTTCGTTGATAAATGAATTAAATCTGTATTTTGCAGCTTAATGTTTTCCATACCTTATAGCATTACAAATAGGTATTAAAAGTAAATAAATAGGAACCCTATTTCCCTGAAAAATAAGACCTCCCTGGATAATAAG